TGCTATTTCCGCGTACCTAGTGATATGCACATAGTAAGGTAAAATCTTCTACCTTCAAAAAAATTGTATCTTTAAAAGTAAAATTTTTTTTCCTTGTAAGGTAGAAAATTAAACAACAAATCACTATTTTTAATATAATTTAGGTAATAATTAAGATATAATTTTCTCTCTAAGGTAGATAAATATGCTATATTAAGGGTATAACACATATCTTTAAAGATACCAACATCTAATTTAGCTTTGAAACTATTCAAAATGAAAAAATTGTACCTTATTTTTTCTTGTTTCCAGAAAAGATACCAGCAAAGTGTAAAGAATGATATATAAATTATCAACTAATCTAGCTAAGTAAACTATATATAGAATATAGATTATTAAGCTATATTAGCTAACACTTTAAATAAATATACTCTGAATATAATACAAAGTATTTATACCCATATACATCCATCAAGTTATACAGTTGATAAAATATTTGCATCTATAACATATTTTCATATAGTGCATATAACTTAAATGCTTATATGATATAAGCTATATGGTTGAATAAGCATATTTATACCAATACAAACTCTGTCACTACATTTACCAACTACATTTACCAACAGTTGATGTCTTTATTTTATGCTATATTCATCATTTTTATTCGGAATACGAAATATAAATGCAATCCAAAATATTAACTTGAAACTGAATAACCAAAAAAATCACAATTTGTTCATGCCATTTCAATATTTATCCCAGAATATATGTAACTTATCTATAGCGAAATACAATGTTTACAATTTGATGCACTCTAAAGTAGGCTGAGCACTAGTATCGAGAGGAACTTAAGTGTTTTAAGAAAACGGCCCGCGTTTCCAGACTAGTTAAATACTATGACTACGCTTATACTTAAAATTTTATCGAACCGTTATTCCAAATTTTTTTTTTTGCAATGTTTAAATTAAGGATAATTATATACAGTTACTGCAAAAAAAGTTTAAGCCTTAAATTTAATTTTTTTTACATATCTTTAAGAAGAAAAAAGGATATAATGCTTTAGTTTATTTTTTGAAAGAATTTTTAGGGACATCATAAGTCTTTAATCTAAGCTTTGTTGCTTACAACAGTCATATGTTGCTTAGTCGCAACAGTCATATGTTGCTTACTTACAACAGTCATATGTTGCTTACTTACAACAGTCATATGTTGCTTACTTACAACAGTCATATGTTGCTTACTTACAACAATCATATGTTGCTTACTTACAACAGTCGTATAATACCCGTTTGCTTGACTTGTATAATTTTTTTAATATTGTTGTCTTTTATAAATTTATGAATTGAAACATTTTTGATTTTTTAATATGGATTTGGTGTTTGATGATATTGCAGGGCCGACAACACCGGCGGCACCCCCACTTTTTTTCTAAACAACAAAATATTATAATAATCTACTAGAAACAATCCAATTAGGGGGCTTAATGAAATGTTCGTGGTTGTATTTATATCATTCATATTTTATTTAAACACATAACTGTTTATATTTATTATTAATATTTATAAATGAATTGGTATAAAGTTAATAAAACTAAAAAAAATAAATATTCTAGTATTGTCACAGTTGTAAGGTATTTACCTTTATTTGAAATTTATTTTTTTCTTTTCTTTGGCCTAATTCTGTCAAACTTCAATGACAAAACCGGATTCTGAGATAAATTTTGATCTTAAAGTAATTATAACATAAAAAAGATTAAAACTTTAAGGTTTTCACCATTTTAATTGTTTAGAAGTACCTTAAGAAAAAATATTTACAATAAAAAATGTTGCTGGAAAATGGTTACCGCATCAAATTAATGTTACCTAAAACTGGCCTTTCCTAAACTTGTTTATTTTATTTATTTATAACAATTTCTTCAGTATTATATTAATTTACAAGAAATAGGTAAATTTTAATAGAAAACTGAAAGGAGATAATACCTAATGAAAGTCTTCCTTATTCCCTAATTTTCAGAAACGATATACTGTCTAGAAAAAAAATTAAATTAAATTTTACAATCGACATGAAGCACAACCTTTAATGAGCCGATATCGATTATACCTACATTTAATTTATAAAGTTACATAAAATATATAATATAGCAGAGATAAAATATATCAATATTTTATCTCTGCTATATTACATATTTTATGAATAGAAAAATTTACTTGAAAAAAATATAGTTAAAATTTGACCAAAAAAAGAATATTAAATTTAACGTTTTATATAAATTTTAAATTTTTTTAGCCGAATTATTTGGTTTTAATTTCATCGATCGGAGAAAAAAGTATTTTAATATTTAAAGACCCTAAAGTCTTTTACATACTTTAAGTGACTTTCCAGAATATTTTTCGTATGAAAAAAAAAATTAATTAATAATCAGTCTTTAATTATTTATCAGGAAAATAAATTATAATAAATAACTCATAAATTTGAGCAAACATGAACATGTTGTTTTATATCAACATAAGCGCAATTTTGTGATTTTTGAATTAGTGATTTGCGCAAATGAAAAAGCATTTACGTGTTACTTTAGAAATACGCACGTTCATAAACGTTACGTGTTACTTTAGAAATAAACACGTTCGTAAAGTATAACTAAAATAAATAAAACCTTCAATTTTTTCATCTTTGATTAAAAATAAAAAAATTAATACCCAAAAAATTATAACTTAAAAATGAAACTTATATGAAAAAATATTTTGTTACATTTTTATTAAAAATTATATAACTTTTATATAAAAACCTTTTTTTGAGGATATATAAGCCAAATATAATTTATAAATTACAATTATCGCAGTTGTTACAACTGTGTAGCAACTAAATGAGTGTTTGATTATTTATGGCCGCTTTCGTTTTTAAATTGTAAATATAAACATATAGTGCTTTAAGTAATGAGAGGGGCTGTGTAAATCGTAAACTATGATTTAAATAATGATAGTGGTGGCTTTCGTTTATAATGCAGAAAAGGTATGCTAATTATTGACTATTATAAACTTTTAAAAACGATTAATTCATGGTAATTTCATTTAACCTTATTATGTTATAAAAATGTAATCAAATATATACTAAGATATTTATCAATTTATTAAAATTTAATTAAAAGTCAATTTATGCCATGATTCATTTTCTCTTTTTGGCTTTAATTAACTCTTTAGCATTGCTAAATTATGCTGAACTTGCAGTTTATTTAAAAAAATGTTTTAAAGATATTATGATATATATAGATAGATATATACAGTTTAATAAAAAAAATATTTTATAGATATATTATACGTTGTTTTTGTAAGAACTATGTAAAAGTTATGTTCAATAAATCTTATAAAGGAAGTTCCATAATAAAGTAACGAACATTATAATACATAATATATAAAGCACACACAAACATTTTTTACTGCATTATAAAATAACTAAAAACAAATAAACATGTATATTAAATATAATAGATGGGAGTTTGTTTCCCAAACAGATGATGATGTTAAAAAACAACTGTAACTTATAAAGTTTGATGGTAAAAACGTTTAAGAGTTAGCACCTAAAGCCTAAAAGAGAAAATGAATCATTTCATAAATTATGCAACAGACATTCAAATTATGACTCAGTTTTTCATGTAGTTCTTATTAATTAATTGAAACATTCTCACGTGAAAAATATTTTCATTAAAAAATTTTAAAACTGAGAAGCATAAAATAACTTGTCTAATTAAAGATTTTTGGAACGTTTCATTATTTTCCATTAACAAGCTGAGGCACTTTTTTTATTAGAAATTAATCGGAGTTACTAACAATTTTTTGGAGGTACTTTTATGTAAAGAAATAAGCAAAATATTACTATACAATATATTAAATATACAAAATATTTAAAAACTTTTTTACAAAACCATTTCCTGAAGTGAGTTGTAATTAAATAAGCTTAAATCGGTAAAATAAACTTTATGTCGATAAAATTATTTCAAAAACGAGTCTGAAAAAGCTTTGTGAGTTCGTAAAATCATTTGAGAATTGTTTATTCAAACCAATGCACTCACGCGTTGTTTACATTAGTAAAGATTTTTTTCTTCAAATACTGTAATTAGTTTCTCTTTTTTTTAGCATGTGATATCTAGATTCTATTTTTTCTTTTTAGAATGTGAGATCTGGGTTAATAGTTAAATGAGCATCAAAATTGTGCGTCGAGTTTTTGGAGCATTTCGAAAAAAAAGAAAATCCTATGCAATAGTTGAACATCGGGTTTTGGAAGATGCATCTCATTTTGAATATGGATTGTTATTTATAGAACGATGTGAGCAAATTCACGAATGCTCAAATGTGCTTTTCCAGGTTCAAAATATTTACGTTGCAAAAAATGAAATTATTCAAAGTTACGAGTTAAAACGTCGCAACGCTGTCTGCGAATTAGAAATAGAAGAAAGATATGGTTTAATTTCAGTACTTAGAAGATATGTTCAGAATAACATGTTAAAAGAACTCGGAATAGTTTAGAGGTCAAAATGGTTTTTTTAATTGATGTCATTTTAAGTGTGAGCCCGTAGAGACAATACTCTCCATAAACATTGTGACAATTGAAGAAAAAACAAAATATTTCCAATTTTTTATAAAAATTACGATATTAGATATTTGTCAAAAATTTTTGTAATATATATTTTTTATTTAGGTAGGAACCCTCCTCTGAAAAATTAATCATCTTTTATAAAAAGTACAATTAAAATTTAATTATGAAAATATTAAAAAATTAATTTAAAAAAATCAAATTAATAATAAATTTTATTTTGCGTATATTTATAAACAAGTCCTTCTCTCTTTGTGTACAGTATGCTTTTTTATGCCTAATATGCTAATGAAAATTGCAACTGTATTATTTACACACCTACCATTACGGCCTTTGCCGTAATGGTAGTTGTATAAATAATGAAGTTAATAATAGTTAATAAATAATAATGGTTGTTTCGCTTTTTATATATATGGAAGAATCAAGTTAATGGGCATTTAAATTTGCTTCTACTTAGACAGAATTAAGAAACTCCTAACTATACTTAACTATACTTAACCTAACTTAGTGAAACAATTAAACACTACAACAACAACAACTCACCTGTCTATCTCTGTTCTCTAGATGCTGAAAAAGCGTTTGACAGCTGCAATTGGGACATTCTGTTTGAGAAACTGTTCAATGATAAAAAACTCCCTCTGTATATTGTTAATACCATATCGTCATTATACTATGAAAGCAGTGCTTCTGTTTCTTATCTAGATTGCAAATCATATCCTTTCTATCTAACGCAAGGAGTGAGACAGGGATCTATTCTCTCGCCTCATTTGTATAACATTTATACTCAAAACCTACTAGAAACATTACAAAACGAAAGCGTCGTAGGTACATCAATCAATGGAAACTATACGGGTGTTGTAGCATATGCTGATGACATTATACTTCTTAGCTCCACCCTCTCTGGCCTACAAAAGCTTATTAATATATATAATATGTACACACACAAAAACTGCATAAAATTGAATGCTGAAAAAACCGAGTTCCTGCTCACCGGAAAAAAGCAAATTAAAAACTGCACAATAACTCTCAACCACCAAGAAATAAAACTTCATGATAAACTTAGTCATCTAGGCTTTATATGGGATACAAAAAGTTCCTCTTTTGCCTCACTTAATAAATCAAACATTGATCATCGAATATCTAATTTCCGGACGGTAATCCAAACCTTAATTCAATCAGGAATCCGTTTTGCTCACCCAAACTCCATTGTTCAGTTATATAAAACTTTAGCTGTTCCAACACTAACGTATGGTCTTGAGCTGTGTGAACATAAAAAAATGTTAATGCAAAAGCTTGATATAGTTGGAAGAAATGCACTTAAGTCGCTCCTCGATGTTTCAAAACATAGCAAAAATTATATTCATACCTTATTTTTTATTGAAGATATATCAATTATTATACAACAAAACAAGCTAAACTTATTTATTTGTTTGATGAACAATAAAATGACATATGATATTATTAGGTCGCAGCTGAAAAACAAAACAGCCCCACAACATTTTTTAGATGGTATCAAAGGGTTGTGCAATAATCATGAACTAAATCTGGAGACAATAATGGAAAGTAAAAAAAAAAAAAAAATTGTCGGCCTCAAAAATTTAATTCCTGAAACGGATCTTCAATCTCTAAAATGTGCAGTTGAGTACTGGAACTTAAAAGAGCAGAGAACTATCTTCAAGGACATTCTTGAAAAACATATTCCAAGATGATCACGTTGAAATAAAAAATAAAAAATAAAAAAAAATAAAAAAATTTCCAAGATTTTTTATATTTATCTTGTATGAAACTCTTAATTTACCTTACTTGTATAGTGGGTGTTTAATAAATCTGAAATATACATATAAAACACCGGTGTCATAAGTTAATCCCCTTAATGAATTAATTCCCGTTACGTAAAAAATTATCATGGAACTTAATCTATTTTGAAATAGACTCCACACCCAATTTTAACTAGAGTTTTTTAAAAAAAATCAGTTATAGAGTTTTTCTAAAAGACTTTTGTTTTTTTCCAATTACTTTCTTAATGACATTTTAAGTTTTTTTGTATCACATTGGAATTTTAATATTTGATTTAAATTGTACGATATCTGTGAACGATTTAAAATTGATACAAAGAGAACCTTATATTTTTATTATACATTAATTTGTTTTTATAAGTTTTTTTCAGAAATCTATGTTACTTTTTAGAAATGTTTGAAGATACAAACGTTGCTACACCAGAAATAATATCATCATCTCCCAGATGATGGTTTTATTTCTGGTGTAATGCAGGGATTATTAAATAATTTAGTTTTACTAAACTTATCATCAGAAAATCATTATAATAATTTTTTTGAAGTATCTAGAAAAAATTGTAGCAGGTTAAAGGTAATGTAATTCAAGAAAATGAGGTTCAGCGTAATTTAATGAAGCAAACTCGTACCCATCAGTTTGTACCTAATGTTTTGTCCAATTGAATTGTCCTAATAAGTAGTAATTTTAGAATCTTATTTACAAAATATCGAGTTTAATGCACTTTAACTGGCGTCAATCATCAACCTATAAAATAAAAAAATATTTTGACGATAGCAATACACACTTTTCTAGGCAAAATCATTTATGACGCTTTTAAGATCTCAATACACATGAGAATACCAAAAGGATCAATATCAACTTAATTTCTTAGATATCTGCATTTCAACTAACCACATTGCTCACAAATATAATTTCTTTATATGATGCAAGAATGCAATGACAAATGTATTTGAAAAACCACAATCGTGTAAAACATCATAAATTGCAAAAGGGATATTTAAAATTTTTTTGCAGAAGTTGTGGAACATGTAAATTATAAAGAAACAGTTTGGGTAGATTAGGGTATTATGAGCACCTAAAGCGAAAACTTGAATATTTTTACAAATAGTTATGCTCGATCCAAAATTTTTGCAAACAAAAATTTTTAGGGATTACTCATGATCCAGTAAGATTTTGGAGCACCCGAATTTTTTTCTTAAAAACACAGAAGTTCTAAAAAAGTAGCAAAAGTGCTAATATTACCGGGACCACATAATAATATGAGCACTTTTAATTAGCTCAAAAAAATAACATTAAGGTGGCACACAACTAAAAACAAGTTTTTTTTGAAATAATCAAAATTTTGAATTTTTTTTTTTTATAAGAATAAATTTATATTAAAATAAAATAAAAAACAGGTAAATTTTTTTTTTGAATTTTATTATCCATATTGGCCGAAAATGTGTTGTAAAACACATGCTTTTAGTAAATCTTCAAAACCTAATAGCTTGATTTTGCCTCAACGACTGAAGCTACAAATTTGAACATAGCTTTCTAATCATATTTCACCCTGTTTGACCGATTTTTTGTGATTCAAATTATTTCATGAAATATATCATTTTTAACAAAATCGCCTAATATATATATGAAATATCAATAAACCCAGCACTTTAAACATCAATATTTTACTTTCTATAGATTTTCATGCAAATTCTGAGGGTTAAACGGTATTACATTATGGTAAAGGGTATTACATTATGATAAACAGATCCTGAAAATTTTATTATGTGATTCTGTTTTGTTAATGAGAAAATGTGTTTCAAAGTTTAAAAAAATAGATATCGAGAAAAAAGCAAAAATAAGAAAAAAGTATATAATAAGAACATAAAAATTATCGAAATCCACCAGGGATGTAACTATCAGTTGTTTCTTTTGCTTGCTGATTGTCTATGAAACCTTTTTTAACTTCACTTAGTTTTTTTCTCTGTATTTTACTTTTATCTATTGACTTTCATATGCCGAATTCCGGTTTTGTCAACTTTACATGACGAAGCTAATGTAACAATTCCATTCAAGATAAAGTACTTTAATACTTCTAATACACCATTAGCACCATCATTTTAATGCAGCACTGCTGAGTATGTTCTCATTTCAGTTGTAGAGTTACTAACAAATGTGTGATTTGGCACGCGAGACCATATCATTGAATTTAATGCTTCAAAGTAATCGCTGAAAGCAGTTGCTGCATGCAGTTTCAGCTATCAGTTCTTTAAAAATTGAAAAGTTAATAAAAACAAAATAATTATCTTTTTCAGAATCAAATGTATTCGAATAGTTGAGTTTGATTTTCCTTTCACTAGAACAGCTACTAGCTGCTTGAGTTGTGGACGATGATGAGATAGAGGAAGAAGATGATTTTTTATTTCCAACAACACCATTACATTTTCGTTTTAGCCTTCTTGGTAAATTTCGTTTACTTTTATTTCTTTGTTTATTTATTTGAAAATAACTTTATTTCAACTAAATTGAAATCACTTTTAAAATTATTTGGCACAAAATGATAGAAACGTTACAGTATAAAAGACAAACACTCAAACAGACCAAAACACTCCTGTTCTTTAGGGCTGTTCAGTATGCTAATTTGTTTTCAGAGCATAGCTAATTGAAGTTTTTCCCATTCAACTATCATATTGTGGTTCAAAAATATTTTTTACTAAATTTTATTATTTGCCCTAAAGGTCCCTTAAAGCCACTAAACATTTGACAGGTCCCTAATATTATTTAAAAAAAAATTATTTAAAAATATGTCAACTTGGTACTCAAAAGAAGCAAAATTTTATAAAAATTTTAAAAATTAGATTCATTTTTTATAAAAAACAACTTAAAAAAACTTATTATTAAAAATTTGTGAATATTACCTTTTTTTCATTTTTTGTTTAAAAACCATAGTTTTTATTCAAAAAAACCTAATATTGTTATTTTTATAAAAAATACTTTTTGTTTTTGAAATTTTTAAATAATTTTGCCTCTTTTGAGTACCAAGTTGACATATTTTTAAATAATTTTTTTTTCAATAATATTAGGGACCTGTCAAATTTTTAGGGGCTTTGAGGGACCTTCAGGGCAAATAATAAAATTTAGTAAAAAATATTTTTTGAACCACAATATGATAGTTGAATGGGAAAAACTTCAATTAGCTATGTTCTGAAAACAAATTAGCATACTGAACAGCCCTACTGTTCTTAAATTAAGTGTTGAAATATGACTCTTATAACGGAAAACTAACAAGAGTCTGCATATAACACATTAAAATC